CCAGTAATAACAACTTCAGTTATTTTGGTATTCCTTATTTGATTTTCACCACTCAAATGTAAATTTAATGTAGAATTTCTTAAGATGAACTCTCTGGTCATTGTTTTTCTCCAGAGCATTTGGTAACGATCTGAAGAGATCTCTGAAGTTGCTCTTTACTTCCAAATATAATACCAAATTGATAAATTTAATAAAGACATTCCCAAACACAGTATTTATTATAAAACTATCTCACTCTAAGTATGTATTTCTATTCAAAAACGACCTACAGAACTCTGAATAAGATATGAGGTGTTCTGTTAACATTTTTCTGTCCTGAGATATAACCAGGTTCAAAAACCCATGATTTCACAGTTTTGCTTTTAAATCCTCAGCAAAACATGCAATCCGAATGCAAAAAGATTTGCAAGGAATTTTARGCTTGAGCTAGGGGAGATGTTTTGAACACATTTAGAAACTTGTTCTCACAACCTCAACATTGCATGTAAAGTGGTAACATAAAAATATTTTTACATTTAAACCRAGGAGTGCCACTCACCTAGAACTAAACACATTTTCTGAGATGCTGTTCCCTTAAAAAGCTGAGGATGCTGAGATGACGATGATATTTTGTGAATGTGCCATGACCACGACTCAGTTTGTCCTTAAAAATATCTGCTCCTTGAAGGCTTGTGAAAATCCGGATCTGAAACCTTAATCTCATTGTCAGCAACTCTAAGAAAGGGTCAGCTTCAGGTTGACAACACCACCAGAGGCAAGTCCATCAGAGTCACCTAACCTAAAAGGTAACTTTTAGAAAGAATCAGCTCTTTTAGTATCAGGTATGGAAAAATATATCAACTCAAACTACGTTTGCTGAAATAGGAGTGCCAGGTGTACACTGCACATTCTCATATAACAAAGGCCAAAGAAAACGCTCTTAAGGCGTCCAAGTAATTTTTCATGGGCCTGACTCAATGTAAAATCTTGGTGTGCGGTTCTAGTAACATCAGAGGTAAAATGAGCATTAATTGTCAGTATTGCACCTAATACTGCCAGAGCAGCATAAGCAAATCAAAGGTGTGTGTTGACAGCCACATGCTGACTCCAAGCAGGCGCCAAGCTGGGGGGATAAGCCAGCTCTGTCCTTCACACCGTGTAAACGTGGCTGTGTACAGCAAGGCCTGCCTGTCACCTGGAGCCGAGGGTCAGCGTAGCCACATCGCACACTAGCATCGGTAAGTGGCTCTTTTCTCCCRATCATATCTTGTTTGCTTTGTTTCGTTCCCATTAGTAGCAGTGGATTTTAGTCCAAAACAGCAGAAGTAGACTAGACAGCGAGACATAACGGATATCAGGTGATATATATATACAAGCACTGAAAAAGCAAACCATGCATTTCAGTTGTTATCCCACAACCGGTGAAGCAGAAATTTCACTTTAGAAACAAAAGGGGAACACTTAGCTCTGTTGTGCCATCACATGCTTGCAGAGCAGTGACAAGGCAATTGAAGCAGACAAGGACACAGCCAGAGAACCTCAGGAGCAGAGGACAGCAGCTGGCAAGACAGGCAAGACCCTGACTTCATCACCTGCTTCTCTGCCCAGCTCCCCTGTCGGATCCTACTTAGTGCCAGACGTCAAGCCTGCCCATACAGCTACAGCCCTTTACAGCTGAAATTCATCTCTCTCATATGCCACCCTTTAACAGAGCAAACAGATAGATAGATTTACACAAAATAAGGAAAATAAATTTACCAAGCTCAGCAGAGACAAGCACTTGACACTGGGCACTCATGTGCCACCTATGACAGCACACAAGCAGAAATAAGCAGTGAGACTCAGACCAGGCCAGTTGTAAATGGGCTGAACCTCACTCCAAATGTGGTGGCCCTGCTGGTGGTAAAACTTTCCTTATATGACTCTATAATGAACAGGAATAGAAATATATACACACTGGCAGGAACGGAACCCTATGATTTACAACAAGAATTTTGAAGAGCACAGGCAGTTTTGTTCTCCCAACTTTAAGGGGAGCAACATAAAGAAGATATTCAGCAATTTCGAAAATCCTCTGTTTCCGTGTCCCTTAGTCAGACCATCACCACCGATTACATATTTCTTATTCAGGTGAAGACAAATACTGCGATTTTGGCAGGCTCTTACCTGAAATAAGACTGTGCAGCTGAGTCGGCACTATTTGTTCAGTTCTGATGCTCGAGCACAGGGCAACGTGTTTCAATACAATAAGATCACTTAGCATTATAGGACCTTAGTTGTTGCCTCAGCCTGCAAACTTGTCCTGGAGGACAGGATCTTAATTTTGGTTCTGAGCCTACTGGGATGTAATAGCTCTAAAAGCTACATGCTGTTACAGGCTATCTTTTGTAAACGGTCATAAATGCAGAGATGGGCTGAAGAACTTCACAGTACAGTAGGTGTCTTTACAGTGACCTCTATTATATTTCCCCACAGGCTGCASCTACTTACCTTTCTTGGCAAGTTCTTTAACCTAAAAAAGTATGTCAAGCCAAATGGGTGATGCTTAGCAAAACACAGACATCCAAGTCTTTCATGTATGACATAAAAAAGGGTCAATGAAACATCAAAAGGATGAACACCTTTTCACATCCCAAATAAAACCTCTAAAAAAAAGTCAGTCTATTTCTATATATTTACATTATTTTAGACACTAATTCTTATTCTGCTACAAGTGGCCAGAGAAACAGAGTCTATAAAACAGCAGTTAATTTGTGTTTAGTTTGTAGCAGAGACATAGGAGACCAAAACACCAAAAAAGAAGAAAGGAAAAAGAAACCTCATTACCGGAATCACAAAGGTCATCAATCATTCACCCAAAATACCCACATAAATCTCACATATGATTTTGTGCTGGGCCATTCAGTTCTACAAACTTCATAAACACAATCTTCACTGCAAATACATGGTAATATGCTAACAAATGAACCCATATTTTACCAATTTATTACCTCAACATTAATTAATACAAGGAAAAAAAAAGTTCACATAATTGTCAGCAGTTTTGAAAGTTCAGGTTAACTGACCTGCATCACACAGCTTAGTGAAGCTCAAATTCCTTCCAGCACCATATGCAATTTATATTTCCAATTTTTTTTTTTTTTTTTTGAGATTTGCTGATTGTGCAGCTTGTAAGGGCTGCCAAAGTTTTGCCCAAACTTTCGCTGTAGCTTCCTTTAAAGCCCTTGGGGCACACCTGCAGCTTTTTAGCACTGTGGAACAAAAAGAGCCTGGGGGAAGGCAAAGGGAAAGGTTTTACAACTGTTAAGTACCTATATCATAGAATCATTATGGTTGGAAAAGACCTTCAAAATGAGAAAGTCCAACCATAAACTGATCACCACTATGCCTGCTAAATCATGTCCCTAGGTGCCTCATATATAGGAAGGCATRCAATTTTATCTGTTTATTTATTTACCTGTTGTGAACTTCCTCTGCAGCATTCACCAGTACAAGCAGCAGCAGATGTGGAAAGAGATCCTGAACTCCTGCTTGTGCCTGCTTCTTTACCACCCTGGCTAAAACAACACATTAAAGACATTGGAATAGATGCCTGTTAGAAATTGCTGGCATCTCACTAGTCACTCTGAATATTATGGATGTTTACAGAASTTTACAGTTACTTTTCTCTCTCACTCATATTTTTTTTTGTCTTTTGCTTGCAAAGAYGATGTGAGAATCGAACATTTAACAATTACCTTACGCTCAGTTTACAATCCAAACATATTAGAAAGGGATGTGCGTTTTAACTTCTCAGTCCTACTAACCCTTACTCTCATGAAAAATAATATTAACTTCAGAGGGACTTACAGCTAGAATAAAAAAGTACTTGAGTAAGTCTTGTAGGACTTGGCCTCATCCAGAGAGGCAAAYGTGATTTCAGTAGTGGAACATTTACAGCAATCCCATAAATCCGTTATGGATGCTATACATGCAATTACAGCTAGTATGCTTTACCTAAAGTTAGGCTCATGTAGCCGTATTTGTAAGCTTTTCACTTATGGCAGTTTATCTTTAAAATTTTAAATTAAAATTGCAGTCTTATTTTTTTTTCAATTGTTATTAAAAAGATAAAAAGATCAGGAATTAACAACCCTAACACTTAATGTTAGGACTGCACTCACAAAACAGCTTTTATGAGCAGCTCCCAGTAATATCATCCACCTATTGTTCATCTGCAGAGTTTCCACTGAAGAAAAACTCAAGTACAGCTAGCAGTGCTAGTCCCCAAAAGTTTATCCTTTCTTAAAACAGAATCTCAGCAGAAGAAATCTGAAAATAAAATGTTCTGCATATTTAAAAAAAAAGTTAGCAGAAACTATAAAAAGCATGTATGATAGTTTTTTAAAAAAATATTCTAACGTACTCTAATAGTACAAAAATAGTTATTCTTAGATTATCCTTTTGATTATCCAGAATGAGTGACTTTTAGYGTGACTTCTCTTTAAGCAAACTTTAATTAGGGTTTTTAACATATTTAACAATAGGTATACATACCCCCAAGTGAAAACAGAAAAACAAAATGGAAGAGACTTTGATCGCATCTTCTTCCAAAAATATTTTTGCCTCCAAAGCTTTGCATGGAGGAAAACACTCCTGAAAATGATACAAATGGTTTTGACATTAGGAAAAGTAAACAAGCAAAATAAACATGGAAAAATCATGTGGTCAGTTTGCAAGTGCTGTTTATTGTTTGAGGCAGGGTTAAAGCCTTTTATAAAGACAAGAACATATATGCAACCAGACTGAATATGACATTAGGTTATTCTAAACACCCCTATTCAGAACTCTGTTGCCTGTAACATGCCCTGGCCAAAACATGTATTGAGGCTTCAAAACAGACAACATGATAGGAATGAACTAGGATGGCACCTTGCTGTTATTTTGGTAACCCATATAGAAAAAGTACCCTAACATTTCTAATAAGTATTTATGAAAGAAGAGAGGCATAGATTTGTCCTTTCCCACCTTTATATAATATCTCCTACAAGTTCTAACATGAATTTACCCACTGGTCATTACAATTTCATTAGGAGGTATCTATGACATTACCCAAGGTGTTACAAGTGGCCAAAACTCACCGGTTGTTTCAACGAGCAGCTCAGAGCTCAATCTAAACGTAAAATATAAGGTCTGCTCTATAAGTGATGCAAAGTAGATAATTCTATGTTCCTCATCAATTTCAAATATTTATTAAATATTTACTATAGACATTCAGAGGAAGCAAGTCTAAAATGGACAGCAGCACCAAGTTTTTCTTTGTCACTCTGTCATTAGGTTTCATCTTTTTTTACAGAACAAACCTAACTTCAAAGCTGGCTTCTACATCCAGCTCCTTTCCATTTACACCACCAGCTAATAATAAAAGTGAATTAAAAGCAACCAGTGATTTCAGACAAGCCAAAAAAGTCAGAKAGCGACCACTCTCAATTGGGACCAATATGAACAGGTTTGGAAAAGCCCAGAGGTCAGAATTTCTGCTCATTCCTTGGCCCATTYCTTTGGATCCAGTAGCACTGAATGCAGTGTATTTATAAAGCTTTGGGAATTTCACAGTAACAAGTTCTTAGTACATCCAAGCTGTTTATCAGAAAAGCAGGAAATATGCTATGCATTGTTGTTTTCAAAATCTGACAGAAGCATTGCTTGCATATACATCAAAGGAGATTAACGAGAGCTCATTCCTAGAACATATTAGCAAAGGTTCTAATTATGTTAATTCCACCAGTTACTTTTATTTTCTTCTTTTTCCTTCAAAATAACGATAGACACCTGGTGAAAATTTTATTTTATAGCTCCCCTTGTTGAAGATGGCAGGAGGAACTATAGTTTTTCTTTCTAAATGTACGCATTTAATTCTAAATGCAATCTCTGGTCAACTTAAAAGTATGTTATCCAATAAAACAGGAATAACACACTGTGACCAGGTTGTAATCACGGACTTTTTCAAAGCATATACCATGTGAGGTCCTCTGTGTCACTATTCTGCAGTGTTAAGAATGGTCCCTTTCTTGAAGGTGAATAAACCTTGAGATTTAATTTAAAATTAGCAAAATTTGGTTGGCCTGGAAAAGTGCTTAAACATCTTTATATGTAAACAAAAATACAAAGTAATAGCACTGTGCATGGCTCAAATATTTCAAGAAGTAAAATACATCCTGAAAAGAAAAAAGAATCCACATAGACCCATTTGTTGGTGGGGAAGACGGTGAAGCTCTGTGAGGAAGATTTTCATATGCACGCGTGAGATAGAAACATACTTAATTCAARGGGGGAAAGTAAGAGCAGATAAGGTGCTTTTTCATGTGAAATTAGASCCTCTCTCCTTCCTAAACACTCGGCTAGCGCCAGCCCCTGTTGCTCAACAGGCGAGCCGCAGCGGCAGGCGCTGCGCGGGCTGCGGATCGCGCGGGCTCGGAGGAGCCCCAGGTGTGACCTCTGCTCTGCTGCGAGCAGCAGTCGGACCAGGCAATCCATCACGGTGCTCATCCTGTCAGGCCGGGTGCTTGGCTGCAGCTGTCTGTCACGCTGGTAGATGGGACCTGCTTAAAGGCAATCATGTCAATCTCTATGTGACTACTCAGACGAAGATAGAAGGATGATCTTGACAGGCTTGGCAAAGTCAGCAGAAGGCACTGGAGGACTTTAGTTACATGCTTAAAATCTGGATGCAATTTGCGCTTCTTATCGAGATGGACTGAAGAGGCACAAAGCAATGCTGTGTTTTATAGCTGGTCATCTCGGATGAATCTGTTGCCCTCGGAATGTTTTCCGTAGTAAACGTAGCGGCATTTTCCCAAAACGCCTACAGCGAAAGGAAATGAATTACAATTAGGACCGTGGTACCATAATATGCAAAGGCAGAAAGCAAGGAGAACTTGAGGAGGGCAGTGGAGGGAGCAGTTCTCTTCCGTGCTGCAAAAGGAAGTTTGTACATTTGAAGTATTTATTATTTCCACTTGAAGCAGTAGTTTTTAATTCACTGGACAAACTTGTACTTGAATACCTGCATGAGCTAGCCTGTTACACACACAACTGTGTCTTAAAAATGGGATGACATCACACTGGCACATCACACACGCTGTTATAAATCACAGTCCTTCTCCACCACTTCTGGAATACTGGGAATCTGGACTGGATTTACATTTTGTACTCTTTGTAATCTCCCTACTACATGGTTTAATTATAATCAAAAACAAAAAGAAAAAAAAATCAATTACAGCTTGATGCAGATCCAGTAAAATTCTCACAAACACTCACAGAGTCATCGTGCAAGCACCTCACCCTGTCCCTGCTCTGTACTGGCAGAGAGCCGAAGTGACTGGCAGAAATCCACACGGGAAGTTTTCAATGGACATGGGCCGGACCTTGGGACCTCCTAAAACTTGGCCCTATGCATCCCAGTGTTTCCCCCAGATGCACAAATAAACATTCTAGCAAAAAATATTTCCAACGTCGCTCTCCAAGCAATGGCACACAAGCAAGCACTGCAATTATAAATTATGCTAAATACCAGTACACTGAGAATGCTTGTTTGTAAAAATTAGCCTTTGCTTTCTGGAGAAAAGGCACATTATTGTTAGTAYGCACAGAAAGCAAGATGCCTCTCAACTGCTGTGGGTGAAACACACATTCCTGCAGATCTGACTCCCRTATTCACAAGCATCCCCTCTGGTGGTACTAAGCGGTATGCAGAAGCGTAASTTCACAGTCACATCCCACCTTCGAGCATCCTCAAAGTTGCTACATTTTACAAGCAGGGTCGTTCTTTGTGCCCCCTGGCGCACACAGTCAAATTAAAGTCACTTCCCATGCACAGAAGGCAGGTGAGAGAACCTCCTCTATCTTGGAGTTGCCTAATGCAGAGACCACTAAAGTATYGCCCAAGAATCTGGCTCACCTCACCCCCACAAGGGCAAACATAATCTAGCCCAAGGGAGAGACACGCTGCTTTCCACAAAGGGTAAAGATGGGGGAGAGCAGATACTCAGTTTATCGCAATTTTAGCTTTCCAAGACCCACATAGCAAATACAGCACCCACTCAGAGTATGAATTTAGTATGCACGCCTCTAAAACATTTASGTTGGCAGTATAGGCAACCAACACCTTGGAAGGCATGGGCTCTGCAAGATTAATGTCAAGCCATGCTCTTCTTTCTTTCGGAGGCATCAGGATAGTAGCACATTCCTACGGGAAAAAAATAAAATTGATAGGTCTGTCATTTGTTGTGAAAAATACATTCCTCTTCAGGATAACACAAATGGGGATGGTGTGGTGCAGTGCTCAATCCCCTTCTCCTCCTCCTCCATGAAGCCATCTTCAGTAATTTCAATGCCTGGTGGAGTGATGTCCACATTTAAGGCATGAAATTACCATTCCTAAACAAACACCTAATGAAAAGCAAGGTTTTGTCTCCCAAATGGATGATATTTCAAGGCGAAACTCAGAAGGCATGAGACTGGCAATGAGGCCGTTTAGAGTGCTAAAGGCAAAGGATACGAACAGCTTATTAATGGCATTCTTCAGACTCCTTTCTCCTGGCGCTGATAAAAGTCTCGTTTGAGGTCTTCGACGTTTCTTGAGGACTGGGAGCAAGGCTTGTGCTGAGAAGCTGGGCAGGGAGGGCTGCGTGATGAATGCTGGAGACTGCAGCTAGGTGTCAGCGCTCACAAAATGAGGCAAGGACACGAGGTATTAATATTGTCAATGATCTCTTGACAGGAAAACAGATACTGCATTCACCGTCAGATTTAAATAGACATCAAGTGCATTAATGACAAAAGGGCAGACTTCAAACAAAGGGGGCTGTATGGTGCCGCGCCGAGCGAGCCTCCGAGTTGGCAATAACCTGATCTGAAAAGACACTGTCAGGACTACAGACAGGCCCCGGATTGTGTGCGGTGACAGAAAACAGAGATGCTGACAGAGATACCGGTGCCATATTATGCCAACTATATTCTAACACTGTCTCCAGCCCTAACTAAATCTGACATCATTTCCTATCGCTTATAGTATCCTCTGCCGCTCCTGCGGAATATTTCTCCCCAGACATCATTACAAACTCCGYCGTAGTTTTAAAGTTACTGGCAGGCCTGTTCTGTCACGGAGGTTGGGTCTAGAGGCCTAAGGATAACCTCAGTCAATCTAAATTTGGAGTTTGCTGTGGAAGCGCTCTCATTTTCACTGATATCTCAGCTACTTGAGGTGATCTGAACGCTAAAGTGTGAGGAGCTGTCACCTTGAATAAAATCCTTAAAGTAAAGACGCTCGGTTCCCGGGATGTTCAGCAAAGATGTCGGACAGTCTGGCAGCAGGAAATGAAATCCAGCTGCTGCTGCTCGCCTGGGGATAAAGGTGCTTGGGCTAGTGACAGTTAAAGTCAGCTGAAATTTTTGAACTCCTGCAGCCTACAATTGTTTAAATTAAGGAAGTGTTGTCTCCGCAGAGATTCCCCACCAAGGCGCACAGCTGTGATTCGATTGCCAGGCGCATTACACACGCTGCTCAGAGAGGCTTGATAAAAACACAGTTGAAAATGTTGCCGAGAGACTTTATTTATCATGAAGGTTATTTGTAAAACAATAGTCTTGCTCATAAATTAAATGCAGTGACTGGTTGTTTTTTTTTTTGTTTTGCCTCCCTGTTTCCCACCTCCCTTCGGCAACTGCAGAAAATGCTGAGAATTACAAAAGATTACACTGAAAGATTTTTGATGCTGAGATATGGACGTAGGAATTTAAGCAACCTACGGTCTCTCTCCTTCCCAACTGCAATTGCATTCATCTCTTGTGTTTCAGGAGCGCAAGTACACTCATGTTCTTGTGCACAATGCATTTTTGACATTTGTGGTGCATTTTAATTAAAATAACCAGTGTTGGTCATAATAAGCTAAGCATACTCCYTATACATCAAAACAACTCGCAGCCATTCTGAACGGGGGTTCTGCTCGCCGCTCTTGAGAAATGACAACACAAGGTCTCTTGAGGGATCATCCCTGAATGAGGCTTCTAATTTTTCTTAAGTAGCTGCTCCTACCATCACCATAAGCTGTTAAAACTATAATTATGAAAAAATTGCATTGGGAAGAATCATTTTTAAATACACCCTTTATCTTTTAAATGTTTTCCCCCTTTGGAATGGATGTTCTAATTATGCCGGGTAAGTAATGACCTTGCAGTTGCTTGCATGTGTTTGCGGTATCAGTCTTTCTTCACAAACACATTGTAATGTCAGCAACGCTGGATTTTCCTTAGCTGAGGGAAAACCCAATTATCCAAATAAATAAATAAATACATACATGCATACTAAAGCACATGAAAAATTGTTCAAGTCATGTTTGCGCCTTTTAAATTGGGCATGTGTTGCAGTGAGCTATTATGCAGCTGGACTTCCATATACTTTCCTGGTGTGAAAAAGCGTTGTAGGTCCTTGTCTATTATTTGGAAAATGGTACAAAGGAGTTGCACTGAGATGCACAAAAGCTGCAAATCGTACAGTCTCAGGTCCAAATTCAGCTCAAGTCAACAGTGACCTAAATGCACTGTAATCAGGTAGCATCTYGTTGCATTTGTTGGTTCACATTTTTTCCTAACAAATAAATGCTCTACATCCATTAAAAAAAACACCCCTCAGCCACCACAGCTGGTGCAGCTGCTGGCAATACAATCTTCAGTAGCATTCAGTTTTCTTTAAAAAGCAATTAAAAAAATTAAGTAGTCAAGCCAGCTTTTGCTACCCCCATCAAAACCTATTGCCACATCTGCCCCCTAAGGCACCCATTTTAACATCAACTGTTTTTAATAAACTGCCCCTSTGTGTGTGCAAACAGCAAAGTATTCACAATTAAAACTGTTTGTCAAACACATTGGTTTACAGTGTACAGCAGGGACTACGTTTCAGCACACAGTCCCCTGCCTGCCTTTCGCAGGAGCTAACCACAGGTCTCGTATTAGGAGCTGTGGTCGGAGAGAGCGCAGCGCTTTTGCAAAGACTCAATATTCTCGCCTAATTTGAGAACAGTACCTAAATCCTCCACCACCAATTTGTATTTGATCCATATTCATCTCTCTTTCCACAACCGGCTGTTGTGTAGTTTTGCTATGGGCTATTAAACAGCTGCCATGTTCCACCAAGAAGCTGGTTGCATTTCAGTGACGGTTATACCAGCAATCTGTAAATTGTTTTGAGACCCTTCAGGATGAAATATCAGTACCATTACCATTTTTTTTCACAGGCACTTGGGCATTTTCTACAATTAATGAACAGAAGTTGCATAATTCCTTTAAATATTAATATGAACCTCCTTTACAGGTTATAATCCTGTACCTAGAACATTCAAAGGAGAATAAATACCTGTCTACAAACAGCTTCAAATCTACCATGTTTCTGATTTAGAAAAAACACCACCATTAGTCAAATTAATTTAAAACCCTTAAAAACTTTTTCATCTAAGGGCATAAGCATAGACGGTTTAAAAGCAAAAAAAATTTTTTTTTTTTTTTTTTTGCTTTTAATCTTGTACAAATTACCCTTGTAAAAGAGGTTTTGTTTTAACTTTATACTTACGGAAATTCTTACAAGTTTATGTGTAATTGACAATTTTTATTTTCATTATCACTTTGACTTCCTATAATAAATCAAGTACTTTTTCAAGTGTTATTTTTTCCAAGAAATTAGGAGCCTCATCTTCTCAGACTGCCTGCTCACAATCTCCCCCCTTTTCTTTTTTTTTTTTTTCCTCTCTCTCTAACCTGGAAGTATTATATTAGATTATACATTCTCTCACATTCATTTTAGATTTTAAA